AGAGTCCGGTGTTAAAATGCTCAACTTTACAGCAGAAATAAACATGCTGGTACAAAAATTCTTGGAAATACGTCACATAAAATGCCCCATTTTGGACTAACATTTGGCAACAAGCCCTTAACGCTTAACAAAAAAATGCTGTAGTCACTATTTTAAAAATGACCCATTCAAGTGCCTCAGTTGACAGGACATCATTGTTTGTCAGGGCCTTTAAACATGCATTGGAGCAGTACTGAAATTATTTGTACAACTGGGGAACAGGGAAGAACATCAGCCTCCTGTGTCAAATGGCATATGTCCATCAGCACAGGTCAGCCTGCTTTAATCGAGGGTTTGGCCTCCATTTCCATCTGTTCCTAGCATCAGGGGGTAAACATGCTGACTCGGCCTCAGCCAGCCCTGCTTCTGTTCAGGGCTGAGTGGGGCCGAGCTCCGCCTTCAACAGAGCCGGCTCATCGAGGCACGTGAGTGGCTGAGATAGAGGGAAAGGCTTTACATTTTCAGCATCGACTTTATATCCATAATTTCACTGCAGCAAGATTTGAAAGTGGAGCCTCTCACTTGGTCTTCTGATGAAGGGTTAAAAGGCACCAAAGGCTCGATGTTGCAAGCTAGTAACACTACACTGATACTATGAGTTATGTATCGCATCCCAGCGGCTCGGGCAGGAGATAAACACTGAGTTTTATGGTGCAGTGGAAACACAACCGTGCTGACTCGGGAACAGCTTGCACACCTTGGCTCGGCAGGGCTGAGCCACACTGATGGAAAAAACACCAAAAGTTGCTTTACTGACGTCTGCTAAATAAATACCTGATAAATCAAAATGCTCTGCTTGTTGACTTTGTAACATTTTCTATAATCGCCTAACACAGTGATTCCTCACCTTGCTGACTAGTGACCAATTAAAATGAAGTACTGCCTGCCAGAGCTGAAGTGATTAGTTGATTGATTAGCTAAGCAACAAGAAAATTAACTGAAAACTACTCTGATAGTCAATTCTGGATCGTTTCACTTTTTGATGAAATAAACGTTTCTCTAGTTTCAGCCTCTCAACTGTGACAGTTTGTTGCTTTTCTTCATCATATCTTTGGGTTTTGGATTGTTGGACTGAAAATCACAACTTCTAGGTTTCACTGTTTTGTGACGTTATAGGCAAAACACTGAATCAAGAAAAAAAATTGACAGTAATAGTCACAGGCCTAATATTTACCTGTAACCCTGTGCCAAGCTGGAGATTTCTGTTTCATCACAAAGTGATTTATTTCAAATTGTTTGACTAGAACTGTTAGAGGTAAAACTATTCTGTCCAAACAAATAAACATAATCTTCTGTAGCTTCTGTGATATTAAAAGAAAGCCACCAAAATTAAGGTGTTTACAGCAAAACCTCTGACACTAAGATATGTTTAGGGTAAAGGTCCAGTCCCCCTGTACATAAACACAGTCTTTTAGGCTTTTGAGGAAATGACAAGTGCTGCCTCTGACCTACTCAAACCATCAGCAGCTCCTTTCATTGTTCTCCTGTTTAACCGGCTGTTTCTTCTACTTGGCTGTGCTTTCTCTCCTGAAATAAAGCATATTTCTGCATGTGAACCCAATTTCCCATCAGAACCCACTGACAGCAGCAGCATGATGGAGTGGTGGCAGGGGGAGGGTTACATGTGTAGACACCCTGAGCTTGTTGTTGAGCCCTGAGCAGCTCCACTCCAGCAGCGGGGGGTTAAGTACCTTGCTCCAGGGCCCTTGCATGGTGGCTGCTGAGGGACAGCAGAGTGTCACTTTCTCTGCTCACACTCTCCCCACTGGAATACGGATTCAAAACAGCAACACAGTTGCCAAGTTAATGTGCTCCCACTGTAATACAGAGTTAAAATGGAGAGGCTGTTATATATACTACTCCTCTTACAATCCTCCTTACTATATGAAACAGCCCACAAATATATTTGGCACAGTATTTATCCAGTCAAAACTGTTGTGAAATGTGTCTTATTATTTCACCCGGAAAGGTGTATTTGTTTTATAATTCTTTTCATCCAGAAGGGGTTCCTGACAATGCATGGATGTTCTTAATGTCACCTTATATCACTTTCATACATACTGCAGCCAGAACTGACCAGATCAGCATCTGGACAGCTGTGCTGCACTTGCAAAACACTGCACAGACTACTATGAAACAGCACATCAAAATATATCTAGCGCAGTATCTATCCAGCAGGGAAACATTTGTAATCAAACATCCTGGCACTATTCATCATCATGTGAAATTTATATAATTTTGTTTATCTGGAAAGAATTTCCTGAACATGGATTACCATCCCTCCCCATCACGTTCACACACACAGGGCTCAGCAGGTGGAGGGGGTCATCCAGTCATTTCAGTGTTGGCATTAAATGGGTGAATGAGAGGTGAAACAGTGAAGCACTTTAGGTAAAAGAGCTCTATATAAATGCAGTGCACATGCACATTTTAGTCTAAACTGGAAACTGAGTTTGAACTTGCAAGCTGCTCCGAATATTATAGCTCCATTACTTTTCACGTCTAAATTCTGTACCAATCAATGTTGTAATAAATTCCAAATTATGCACAGAAACAGAACAGCTGCAGATGACAGGTCTTAGTCATCTTTTAAACCTCTAAACCTTTTAGCCTCCTGATGTTAAAACCTCTCCCCATGGGAGTCTCTGCCAGAGTCCTGCTCCGGGTCAGGTACCCATGGGTACCCAGAAAAAATTATGTGTAACGAGTAAAAATAATGTTTGTATTAATTCACGGGTATGACCATGGGTAAAAACTAAACTAGATGTGGGCAGGTAGTGAGTGAAATAAACATAATTTTAATTAAAAAATAAAGGTGCAGTTTCTTTAAAACATCTAATCCATCATAATTTTATCATGCATAAATACCCAGTACATTCACAATGACGGCCTATAGCACAACCTCTGAACCATCAACTCACATCCAGCTAATAGGATGTCACTCAGACATTAACGTAGGCTAGACGTATGCTGGCTTTGCGTAGCCGCTGCTTTCTATGTTGTGTACTTTTTGTATGCTTGCTGTTAGATCATAGCCTGCTTTGTGACTAAATAACGGTGTTGGTGGTCGTTATTTTACCATCAGTACAACAATTGTTATGTAACTTTGGCTTTACTATGAACCACTGCACAGCCACTGTTCCATGTGTGTGTGTAGGCTGCATTCTGTGTTAGCCTACATGATTATTATTCTTTTGATGGCACAAACTCAACTGCGTTGGGTTTGGATCAGGTTTGGCCACTATGCTCTCGGACTCTGGTCAAACCATACTCTAGTCAGTGTACAAATGTAATGGTAACACAGTCCCTCAGTGAGCCCAGACCTACAGCAGTGTGGCATTTCCTGTTCGGTCCAACCAAGAGACTAAGGACAGAGATAAACCAAGCCGACACTCGGCCATCAGCCACCATCAGTGAGTGTCTGTCAGGGCTCGTCCTCCTGGTGTGTCATGCACCGTTGGCACTAGTTGGTCACTGCTGGCGGCTTTTTGGCCAGTTGGGCTTCATCAGTGGCTGAGGAACCATTCTGACTGGCTGTTGAGCTTAGCAAGTCAGTGCATGAGACGAGATTGGTTTGGGAAAGCCCCTTCAGCCTGTCACTGCAGTATTTGTGATTTCACCCATTTGGTGCCGTTTCTCCTTGTTTTACACTTCCACAACCTTCTTTCTTCTTCTACAACCAAAAGGCCGAGGGCAGTGAACGACAGTGTCATTTACAACTTCTTATCAGACATATTCTCGATTAGCAACGGCTTTAAACAGCAGCTGTTTGGAATGAAAGGTGTTTTGTTTATAACTTATACTTCCGCATTCCAGCTCTTCTTCCTTCTTTTTCTGAATGGCAAATACGGATACCGCCACCTGCTGGTAGGGGGAGTTATTTCTGTCATGCAGGCGCAGAACGTAGGTGCTAGTTGGCCATTGGCTGCCATTTGTGTGGTGTGTTTAAGTGTCACTTTTTCAACCCGTCTGGCCTTCTAAAACTTAAAAGATACTTATTTTGCAGTGACAATAAGATTCAACAAATCCTCACACCAGGGACACTGAAACCAAAGAATGACAAAAAACCCCACACAATTCAACGATTTTTCTGACAGTTGTTTCATTTCATAACAATGAATCAACAAGACTTAAAAAAAACACACTCCAGCGTGCAAATGACAGCAGACTGTAAGGCTGACCACAGTTCATTCATTCACACTTGATTTAGTATAGTCAGCAATATTGTATGTGAAAGGTGAAGCCAATTTAATTTAGCATTTATTCAGCATAATTGCTTGACTACACAGATGCTCAATGAACACACATGCAAACATTTAGGTTCCACTGACAATCCAACTTGAGTGCTCCATTCTGGGCCCATGACCGTGTGAACCAGTGCCGTTATCCCACCAAACAGACCCAGCACCTGTACTGCACAAGGTGGAGAGGAAACTCAACCAAACTCCAACAGTTTCCGCCAAGAAAACCGGGTCTTCTGGACTCACATTAAATAAACACCGTGTTATCAAACTCCCAAACTTACATGTTCCCTTAAAAATCATTTTTGGATTTGATCCTGCCCGTGCTGCTGACCGTGTCACCGCTCTGCCACACCGCCCGGTGTGAGCTCACATTTAAATCAAACATTCCTTAATATAGAAATGAGACAGTAAAAGCCGGCGTTTGGCTGCGTGTGTCTGTACATATGTGTATATGTGCATGCTGCGTGTGCATTCCTCCCGGATCGTCAAGCAACAACGGCAGCTTGACTGTGACAAAGAAAGACGGGTTGCACGATTTCTCCCCGGACGCACTTTGACTGGCTCTCTACCTCCAGCAAAACGCAATTTAAAGCCCCGATTTAGCCTGAAAAGCGGGGATGCCGTGTCCGCTCATCCCTCTCACAAAGCCTCCCACAGTAGATGCACACATATATTACAAAACACTGAGGATAATAAAGCAGTGTGTGCAGGACTTACCATGGTTGTTCCAGCTCCCAGTCTCTGAAAAAGTCGAATTCAAAGAGATCCATTGCCGCTCCCGCTGCTGTTGCTGGTTAAAATCCAAAGCTGGTGCTACGTGGTTCTACATGGGCTACTGATACTGACTGCGCGCGTGTGTGTGTCAGAGTGAGGACAGTACACAAGCTGCTGCCGCTGCCAGGAAGCTGCTACGTGGTCGAGGCAAGCTGACAGCCAGGCAGAGGTGGAGGGAGGAAGAGCGCGCGCACGCACGCACACGCACGCTAAAGTCTCACTGAGATCTTCACTGCAGAAATGTTCCTACATAATAAGTGGAGCTATTTATATA